TAAAGTGTGCAATGGCTGGGAAGGAGTTCAGGCCACAGTGACTGTCAGAAAGCTCAGGTTACAGCAAAGCCTCCAAAGTCATTTCCAGAACATAATCAAAGCTCTCTCTGCACAGCATCAGAGCAGTGACAAGTTCCTAGAACTGAATTTTGTTGCTGAGCTCAGCATTAAACAATCTCTGAAAAAACTCTCATCAGCTAGTCTGACTACACAAGAAGCAAAAGTAAATTTTCTCTTGGAGTTTCAACCACAGCTAAATGTGTTGTCCTTTTTTTTGTTTCACCAAAAAATTCACGCATATATCTAAGTTTACCCTCCACCCCCACAAAAAAAACTATAACTGGCCAACTTTTTAGAATTCTCATAAGTTCAATAATGTTAAAAACAATAACAGTAAAGCCCCTGCTATTCTTTTTCCTCAAATATATAAATGAAAGTGCATCAAGGGGACTGACAGTCCTGGCCAGTGTCACAGGACTCAGAAATGACAGAGTGAGAGCTGGAAGCCAAGTTTTCCCTGGGTCCTGGTGTCCTGGTGATGCATCCTCTCTACTGGAGAGCTTTTAAGAGCTGTGGATTTCTCTGAAGCTATTTCTATTTTCAGTCAATGACTGGCCTTTGGTTGATTCTTCATACCAACCTGTCTCCAAGCAGGCCTCACTTCCACACAGACTTACCCCTGGCACAAGAAGGCATTTCCTTGCAGCCCTAGCAGTTCTCCCTCTGGAATGGGAAATGTTGAAATACTATATCCAATTTAGTTCTTAGTCTACAGCCTTCTTGTTCAAAGGCTTATATGATACTTAACTTCTGTCTTAGATCCTTTACCTCATTGACAGTGGGAAACCAAATTCTTGAAGCCTAGACCTTATAAGGGAAACGTGAAGTTGCAAAGCTAATCCACTTGATAGATGGAATGCGTACATTTTGAAGGCATGTAAGACCACGATGGTAATACCAAATACTTTTCCGGTTTGAAATCATCACATACCAAATGTCAGGCTCCTGGTCTTTCAAGCCCATTGAATCATTCCAAACAATGTAAAACTGAACCTACAGCAGACATTCTCCTTGCTTGACCTTTGAATTTTCCTGATAACAACAATAACCAGGTCTTTTCAAGTTATCTACCTCTTCCTTGTAGCTCTCAATTAGTAAATTGAAAAATGCTACTATCACATGTAAACATAACTAAATGACTGGAAGGAAACATCATTTCCTCCACTCATTTTAAAAGTATTTTAGGAAATCCCACCTTTACAGTAATGGCAGAGTACCTTTGAAAAAACATGTTGACATATCCTTCATATGCACACATTTATTTGTTTTTAATGAAAATTTCCTCATTATGAGTATAGCAAAATTTGAGCACTACTCTGTCATTTCCATAGGTTATTTTATTTAATCCTTCTAACTTTAAGTAGTAGGTACTTTAATATCCCCCATTTTTCGGCTAAGGAATCTGAGTGTCTAGGTAATTTGTCCAAGGTCCATCACTCAGCAATCAGAAGCTGAGACAGTCTTGAATCCAGAGAGTTCCACTCTAAACCCAGATTCTTAGCCACTTTTTGAAGCATTCTTGTGACTTCATATCAGAACTATGGGTAACTTAGAAAAGGTTACCCTTTTTCCTTTACTGTTCAGTCTTTCCTCTTTGCCTCTTCCACTTTCCTTCCTGCTTCCTTTCAGGCCCTTTAGTTCATACCTTTGAATTTCTTCAGTTTTCCTTTTCAGTCACAGCTAGGAGCCTGACTTCACTCCAGTCCCCCTCAGCTGGCAACAGGGTGAGTTTACACAGGAGCCTGAGTCAGTTGGGAACCCTAAGCAGACGACCAATGGCAGAAGGCAAGAGCAGAAATGCTTGGGAAGTCTGAGGTTACTTGCCTGTCCACAACAAGCTCCCAGACTTGGGTAAGACAAGAGTCTCTGACCCCTCCTAGGGACACACTTTTTTTCATGGTTACATGGAAATAGGTGAGGAACTCTTGGACTGTCTGAGGGGCATGTTGTATGTAGCAATGCAAACTCAGAGCAAGGTGAAGAGCTGCTAGTCCAGCCTGCCTTCTTTAATATCTACTCATAGTCTGTTCAGAGAAAGGAAATTTTAGAAACTTGTTCATTACATCATTTTTCTTCAGGGTTATTGGGAACCAAATAGGTTTGCTGAAAATTTTCTGGGGAAAAAAAGGGGGGGAGGTGATCCTTTATTTAATGGTTTAAATTACACATTTAATTAAATTAGCAGATATGCTGAGTTTATCAGACACTACATTCAGGACTTGAGTTGGAAAAGGAGCTGGTCTGGTTCTGCGTATTTTCCTGGCAGAATGTGAATGGTCTCATCTGCCAGGTGCAGTGGGGAGCAGGTGCCTTAGTCAGGTGTTGGCCAGACCACCCTTCTACCTTCAAACAGTGTCACCTTGAGCCAGTTACTTCTTCAAACCTCACCTGCTCTGTAAAAAGACAGGGGCATTAACGTTCACCACCCCAGGTTGCTGTAAAGATCAAATGACATCATGTCTATGAAAATGCCTAGCACAGGAACTGGCAGACAAGGCATTTAATAAATGGTAGTTCAATTTTATTTTATGTCATTTTGAGGGAGGGGCAGATGCAAAGGCTTGTTATTAAGAAATAAGGAGACAGAAACCATAAACTTGTGGTCTGCAATTTTTCCTTCACTTAAGAAACCTTCACCAAAGCTATATTTTCAGTTAAGATAGGGAGTGCAGACTCTTTTGCAATACTTCTCCCACCAAAACCTCAACTTTCAGTAATCAGACACTTTGAAGTTTTACTGCACAATGTATGGCTGTCTGTACGTGACTGCTACATACATATTTACAACGTAAAATTCAGGAGAACAAGCACAAAATCAAAGTCAACCAGGAAATGCTGATGATCAGATGTCAACGTTAGGCTTTCTAGCCTATCAGAAAAGAAATCATCATTTACAGAAATGAGAAATACAGAGCTCACAATAAGAAGGAATACCGGTGAATCAGAAATTCTACACCATAAAGAACATTTATGAAGAAAATACACAAAGGTGTTATTTTCCTGCACCTAAAATAACCTAAGATTTTCATTAGCACTATTTCCAATTTGGTTTTTAAGATTAAAAAAAAAAATAGGGTCACTGCTGCCTTGCTCAACATGTCCCTTTGGGTAACAACATGGCCAATCTACTGAAAAAAAAGAAGCCAAAGGGAGGCTCACTAAAGAAACACAGAAACTGACATCTGTAATGCATGGCAGGCCAACAGATACTTTGTAACAGACCGGTTCCAGAAAGGAAGCTAAAATGGGAAACTCTGATAAACTATTCTTCACACAAGGCTACTGGGCACATGGCTGGACACGTATCTCACTGTACAAGGGGCTGGCAGGCATTTTCTATCTAAAGTGTGCAATGGCTGGGAAGGAGTTCAGGCCACAGTGACTGTCAGAAAGCTCAGGTTACAGCAAAGCCTCCAAAGTCATTTCCAGAACATAATCAAAGCTCTCTCTGCACAGCATCAGAGCAGTGACAAGTTCCTAGAACTGAATTTTGTTGCTGAGCTCAGCATTAAACAATCTCTGAAAAAACTCTCATCAGCTAGTCTGACTACACAAGAAGCAAAAGTAAATTTTCTCTTGGAGTTTCAACCACAGCTAAATGTGTTGTCCTTTTTTTTGTTTCACCAAAAAATTCACGCATATATCTAAGTTTACCCTCCACCCCCACAAAAAAAACTATAACTGGCCAACTTTTTAGAATTCTCATAAGTTCAATAATGTTAAAAACAATAACAGTAAAGCCCCTGCTATTCTTTTTCCTCAAATATATAAATGATGTATCTACATCAAGCACAGATACTTTTATAAAATGATTTAGATTCATGCAAATGGTATTACCTGCCCATGTTAAAATATTAAAAGTGTTTAGTCGGCATCTATTTTAATTACCACAGGCCCAAGTATGTATGAGCAAAAAGTTAAAGATTTCTAAAAGCTTTTTGTGAAGGTACAAACCTGATTAAGAATGAATCTAAACATTCAGTGGGAAAAGATATAATTTCAACAAGGATTTCCTATCTTCAAGTTTATGCTTACGAAGAAATATAAATGTTTAACTCAAACTTAATGAACATGTTTGTTTTGAGACTAAAATAGCCTCTTTTATAATAAATTTCAGATTTTGTGTGCATCCTTTGCTATCACTACATACACAGATTTCTTTCTAGTAAAATTTAGTTGGGGTATTTGAAAGACCTAAAATAGGTTTCTCAGGGTTTCCTTTCTCAAGGCACCACAAAGAGAAAAACCAGTCACAGACAGAAGAAACTCTTATATAGAGGCAGTTGTTCACTTCCTGAGCTTACCCACTTCCTTCTTCAAACATTTCCTTCTCTTCACCAATGTGTTTTTTGAAATTAGTATCAAAGTGTTCTTGCAAAATATACTTCTGGGCCTAAGGCCTGGAATCTAAGCAAATGCCGATAGCCCTGTCATTTTTAGTATCATCACTGTAGTGATACAAAGTTAGACTCTCAAATGAAGAGTCACTTCAAAGGTACAGAAGGCTCCCTGCAATGTTAACTGATATTTTAACAAAATAATCTGAATTGTTATAAGCCAGAGCCATGCTTTCAGAAAAGAAATGTTATCAAAGTGAAAAAACTAAATGAAAAAAAATTTCATGGCTCATGGCTACTCCATTAAGAAAAACTATAGTTAATTTTCCATGATAAGTAAGGAAGCCAATTTTTAATCTTTCAAACCTTAAGCAAATTGCAATTAGTTGCTAGGTTTCTTCATACTACATATAACCTTGAAAATAAACTGAAAGTCTAATAACTATTGAAGTTATATATTTTATTAGAAATGTACCTTCTCAATGATGATTGCCCTGACTTTAATCAAAGCAGATATATAAAGCTGAACAGAAATTTGGCTTTTATAATTCTTCTGTGTTAACAAATATGATTTAAAAAAATAAAATAAAATCAGTCTTTACCTAAATATAAATATAAAAAGCTTTATTTATTTACTGGCAAAGAGAGATTACAACAAAAACAGACAAAAGGAATAAAGTCTCTCAAAATGTTTATTTTTGTCAGAATAGCTGACAATTTTCTGTTAAGTCTTTTGGTCTATTATTATAATAAGCATTTCCCCCTTGAAAAATCCATTTAAAATATCTCAATCCTTGAGGTAAAGAATTTTTTAACTGAAAAAAAAATCCTGATTTTTTTTAAAGAAAAAAATACTTAAAATTCCTTTAGCTTGATAAATAGAAATAATCTCTTTTTGTTCTACTCTGGTGAACAAAAATGTACTTTATACAGCGAAGTATCCAGTCACTTATTGGCAAACTGAAGGTGAAAACTACTCATTTACACGCTACTCAAACACAGTGCAATACTGCCACATTCATGCAGACTTTTTTTTTTTAAACAGTTACCAAACACTCTTCTGGCAAAGACAAGGTTTGGGAATGGCAAAAGCAACAGAAGTTTTAGATCTCATAGCTCCAGAAGGGAATTAATCCGAGTCTTCGTCATCGAGATAATCCTCGGCATTGCTTAATGTTCGAACAGCATCTAAAAGGAAGGCGGGTGGGGGGAAGCAACACAGAGAAATTACAAATTGCTTGGATTTTGTTTTCACTTTCAAAGCTCCTGACAACTCAACAAATTCTAATCTTTCCTCACAGACCCAAGACTATACTTTCCCCAAGGATCTTTTCCAACTCCTGCTCTGCAGCCTAACTGTTCAGTGTCTGCTGCCAAGGATGCTGACAGATCCATTTGTCTGCATGTTCCTCAGACATGCAGAAAAGTAAAGCATATGGAGCTAAGTACCAGCAGTATATTCTGCATGAAATGCAACCAGCCACATGCACCATGACCAAAGTGGAACATACTGGAGGGCCCTCCACTCTGACAACTGTGCTCCTAACCTCCTCCCCCAGTGACAAGTGCACTCGTGGCTTCAGTCAGTTGACAGCCTGCAGCCTGACCTGAGGGCAAGGTCACTGGGTAGAAAGACAGTTAATGAGGGGGAAAAAAGGAAAAGAAAGAGAAAGAGAATGGAGACACAGAAGCTTCAGTTTCATTTTAGAAAATACTGATTATAAAGTATACTCAGAAGCAAGAGACTGAAATAAAAAATAAATAAAAGTTTGAAACAGAAAGAGCTGAATCCCAACAAATATGAAACCAGCCTTGAATAGGGTTCAAAAAGAAGACATCTGATCTCTAGCCACCTGTTCAACTGTCTAGTCAAATTCCAATCATCAACAGGTTACACTAGGAATAGATTTTAGGGCATATGAGCATAAGCACATGGTTAGAGCTCAAAAAAGGATGATAGCACCCAGATCATAGTCTGTAAATACTATATTCCCCAAGCTCATTGGAGATAATTTCTGATTCCAAGTCTGGCACAGAAGATGTAAAAGATGGACTTGGAACCTCTTGTCATGCTATAATATAAGGATCCTATCAAAGAAAGCGTTACTCTTAAACGGTCCTGGATCCAACCTGAAGAGACCTCTACTGGCCAGAGATGAGTTATCAATAAGGATACTAACTATAACGGATTAAAAAAGCAAACATTTCAAGATGCATCAAAGAGAATTCATTGGTCCCCTTCAGAGAATAATATGGAACCAGCACATTATTTTTGAAAACTTTTAAATAATTGGCAAAATAAAACCTTTAGTCTGCCCCTACTACACAAACTATTCTTCTGAGTAACCTAACCAGACAGTTGAGGGGAAATCTTTCTTCATAGAATATTCCAGCTAGTAACTGTGAAAGAAATGACAGAATTAGAGTATCACCATTTTGCAATCATTAGTGAAATAATGGATCTAGACAATAATGATCAATGGATATTAACATCACATAATGAGTGATAACCAGGTATTGTATGCCAGTGATGGAAGAACGTGATTTACTTTATGAAGTAGTCCTTCTTCTACCCCTAAGACATATAGACAGATAAATGAAATCTAACTCCAAACAAACCTCTAGATCTAACACCAACTGACAAAAAATAGACAGGAGAGAAGACATGACAGACACCCCCACGGGACTGCGTCATGCAATGCGCACACTGGGAAATCCAGGGAAATTGACCAGTTTCTTTAATAAATAATTGCAAGGCTAAAAAATGGGGGAAGGGAAAGAAAGGAAACACTGAACTTTAAAAAACACCTAGAAGACAAATCTGTCGATCAGAAACTGACCTTATTTAGACTCTGACTTAAACTGCAAATAGATAAATAAATAAATAGGTAAAGGATAAACAAGCATATATGAGAAAAGTGGCAAGTTTGGACAATGACAAGATATTTGATGATATTAAGGAGTAATTATTAATTTTAAGTATGCCAATGATATTGCAGGGGTTTTTTTACAGAATCATTATCTTCATAGGTTTAGGAAAATAATTATTGAGAAAAAAGAAGGGACAAGAGAGAGTTAGTACAAGGGAGGTACAAACTTATTAATCTTAATACAGGAGAGAGACGGACAGAAAAAGGAACAAATGCAGAATAGAGACAATGATTTCACATCAGCTTTCAAACTACTAGTAGTTTCCAGGTTGACTGTATCTTCTCCATTCTCCTTAAGAGGAGCTCTAGAGACCTGGGAGGAATACATTTTGTTCCACAAACCTCAGGACTGGCTGCAAACTCGGTAAACAAAGCCTTTTAAGCATACAATGGTTAATTCTGCAGTTTATTTTAGCCTCATTTCTCCAGTTAGCAAGAGAAAGGTGACTTGCCATGGTACACACTGACCGGGTGGAAATCAAGAGACAGGAGTGAGTTGGGTAAATAAATTCTACCCCCTTCCTTCCTTTCATGGACTGCTCTGAGGCAGTTTCTCTGGAAACTTCTCACATAGCCAAGTGCTGTGTGATGAGCTCCGTCTCTTCACAGCCCACCTCGGGGTGTGGCCGACATGGTACTGCAGCTCCTAACGGTGCCTCCCACTCTCCCTGACCTCACTGCCATTTTTCCTCAATCTCCCTGCCCTCGATTTACACAGTGAAATCCAGCATCAGCACTTAAAAAGTAAATAGATGGTGAACAGATAAACACCGTGACATGGATAAATACCATATACAATATTAAGTAAAAGAAGTCGGACACAAAAAAGTACATACTATTTGATTCCATTAATACCATGCTTGAGAACAGGGAAAACTAGTAAGAGAGAAGGATACTGAGGGAGACTTCTGGGACGTGAGAAATGTTCTCTAATTTGATCTTGGTGTGGAAACAGCTGTAAGCATGGTTAAAAAAAAAATCATCAAGCTGTAAAGTTAGTTTTACTTTACAGCTCAGTTTATAAAAATTGGAAAAAGAATTTAAAGGGCTAAATCCTCAAGTATGGTCCTGACTCAATCCCTATATCCCAAAGTTACCCTTCATGGGAACTGCCACACTTAAATTATTTTGTTCCTACAAGACATCCAAAATGTGCTTTCAAAAGGGGATGACAATATCAGAATATGCCTTTTCCAACTTAGAGTTCATGCTAGTAATTGGCTATATGGCATAATATTCACACTCTCATTGCAGCTAGGATCAAAATGCAAAATAAAACTTATTTTTAAACAGGATGATTGGGGAAATAAAGCAAGAAAAGAACAGAGAACATGATACCATGAAAAGTGAAATAGGAAAATTTGTTTCTTGGTTCTATACTGCCAGGCCTCAAGATTACTTCATTAATGAATCTATTATCTAATCAATACAAATTCAGGAAGGTAAACTAAAGACACTTGGGAGTGAACAGAGATAAAGAACACCCAGCTCCGAGCCCTATCCTACAAAACCTAAGAAAACCTGAGGGGAGAAGAGAAGAGTCTGCGCCCTGCCTCCCCCAGCTCCAGGGGCTCATGCAGACGCTTCGTGGTGCAGCTCTCTGGAGCCTGAGTGATTGCGGTATTTTACTTGCCTGTCATGATTAAGCCCAAAGTATACATGAGACTCCCATAACCTTCAGCTCATAAGAAACCTTACTTCTCAGCCAGGACATTCTGAAGGTCCCATATAGCAACAGGAAGTCAGTGGCAGAGAAAGGAAGTTGGGCCATAGTTCTACTTCCTGGCCCAACTGAGCCAGCAGGAAGGACGAGGCCCATTCCAAGTAAAAGTACCTCTCCCATGTGGCTGCAAATATGACCTCTCAGTCAAATGCAGCAGGGGAGCACCACTCAGTCGGTAAATACTTTCTCCCTCATTTAGTAGACCTTATATCCATCTATGCACTGGTAATGACTTTAAAAAAAGACTTGCTCTGCCAGTGAGCATTCATGGCTTAAATAATTAAGGAATCTCAAGCTGCTTAATGGTTTATACTATATCTGAATTGAAGTTAAAGAAAAATCTGAAACAAAGACATTTGTTTAAAGGGAATAAAGGACAAAAGAAACAGCAGATTTGTGGGGAGGGTTGTATGGGAATTTGATGATCAATAAGGTGGATAATTCTAGGATGCTCCCTTAGTGAGCCATGAAAAGAGGGAGGCTGTTTGCTATTTTTGATTGACTAAAGCGAGAAACCAGGAGACTGACTTCATCTTATTGCTTCTGCTAGGAATAGAATATGGGACAGTATAATACTGTCTTTTCTCATAAATCAAAGGATACCGGAGGGAGAAGTAAGTTTACCAAAGGTTCAAGAATTAATGGGAATGCAATTTAAGTGATAAAACCAGAAACTAGTATCTCAGTACACAAGTTTGGGAACTCTGTAAGTTATAGTACCCTCACGTTAAAATGGAAACAAATGCACTGAGCCTCTACAATGGAAACCTCTCAATAGCTGTTTTGGTGATTTTCCACCAACGTGGATTAGTCTAAACTTTTGACTCTAAAGCAATACAAAATGGGCTGCAATGGCAAACGGCAATGCTGAAGACTTGCACAAAGAAAGTCCTCCATTATACTAGCTCCTTTCTAGAAAATAGTATCAAGTAGTGGCTTATACTTCAAAGTGAGGTAAAGAGAAGAGACCGAACATCCCCTCCAACCAAATCACCTTGGACCGTTCCTTTTTTCTGCCTCTCTGGGTTTCTCATGGGCCAGGAGGCTGATGATGACCAGAGGAAGGAAAAGAAGAAGTAGACAGGAAAGAGTTCAAGGCACATGCTCCCTGCATTTCTTTGAGGAATTGTATTAGAACGATCCTGGAGGGACAGGTACTAAGAGGTCAAATCAACACCCAAATCTCTGAATACTAATCATAAATGATGTAAGTGTGTTAACACCTTTGCTCTAACACCTTCCCTTCAGCATTTTCAGAACAACCACATAAACCTTTTTTTTTTTGAACCTATTATTCCATATCAGTAGATATTTTTTATCTTTAGAACATATACCTAAACTTTACCTTTAAAAACCACCCATAATCTATGGATATCAAAATATTCACAAAGTCTAGAATAACTTTGATGATAACTTACTGATATCCTCATTTAAATTAGGAACAAAATATAAACATGGAGTTGTTCGGTGCTTAAGTTAGAAAATATTTAGGGATAACCACTCATAAAAACACATCTGAAATGAGATAAGAGACCATGGTTCTCTGATAAGGAATGTAATGGAAAGCAAAGTGATTAGAATTTGAGGAACAAAAGAAACATGAAAAAATAGTAGAAGATCAATGTCAATTCAAATTCATTTGCATGAAGGTACTCTTCTATGTTGAAGGTTTCAATTTAAATTAAGGATATAAAATCTAACTTCAGAATCACCTGAAGAGGTTACCCAGAAAAAACTTTCCCCCAATACTGACATGATAAACCTCAGTCATGATGGCACCAGAGGAGAAAGAAGGATTAAAACAAAATACCTGTTCCCTGTTTCTTTTTGAGGAGAGATGCACAGGCAGCGTTAGTAGCCATGTCCAGGGCCAACTTCTTCTCATTGTTTCTTAAATCTGTTCTAGCACCTTCCCCAACAGAAGAAAACGTAAATTAGGTGTTTCTGAAGACTCTAGAGTAGCAGCCAATCCTCTTTCCACCAAAACTAATCACTTTGGGCAAAGCTAACTAGAGAACCATTCTGGCCCTAAAGTAGGCTTTTATATCTGGCATCTTTAATCAGGGAGCTTATAATTAACCTGTGATAATTATGTACAATTAAAACATGGCTTTTCCTTTGAATCCCTCTAGAATTGCATGTCAACTTTTCAGCAAGGAACTTTACTACCCCCATGGTAAATCAGACTCCAGAGTGCCTTGGCAAGAACGTTTGGGAGACTGAATTCAATATGCCCTCTGCCTCTTCTTCTGTACACCAAGGTCTTTAGATAAAGACCAGGTAAGTGGAGGTGGACGGGATTATATTTTATATCTGCAAGCATACCCCCATTCAAATCAGCAGTACAGCAACACAATAAAACCTAGAGACAATCCATTGTTCCCACAGGCCATCTTCTTAACACCACAATCCATGAAACATTCTTACGGTTGAAGATTCAAAAATACAGAAATGTGCAGAAGAAAACCATTTCAGCCCCCAACTCAACCACCTGCTTCCTCATCTTCTACCTTCTGCAGAGGTAACGTTCCAGCAAAGGGCATCAGTCCTTGTATTAACTAATAAGTAACTTTCAGTAATTCTTACTAAAAGTAATACATGTGATATTAAAGCTTACCAAGCTTTTAATTTAAAACTAAAAACTTATACAATTACCTCAATTTCATATCATAACAACTCTAAGACTAAGTAAAAGTTAAAATCTCAGTTTTAAAATAAGGTGCCGCCTACTCTTTCTCCTATTTCAAATGGTATAATTGGACGCAGCCTGTTTTTCACTGTAAGTGAAAACCAAAGAAACTGAGCACACACTTTACCTTTTGCTAGAAGCAACTGGACAATATCTGCATAACCCTTCCAAGCAGCAGCATGCAAAGCTGTGTCTCCCAACTTGTTCTATGGTGGTAAAAAGAGAAAACAGCACTTTGAAAACAGAATGGGGACTGAAAACACATCAATTTAGGGTTACTCTAGGTAAACTTAAAATGAGAACACAATTTTTAAAATCATATAAAATTCCAGAGGGAAAGGAGGCTCAGAGACGTGAGATGAGTCATTTGGGGAGAGGGAGTGGGACAAAGACGTAGAAACTGACTTGGCAGGGCACAGGTGGAAACACAGATGCCTGCAGATGGAAACTCCAGGAGGAAGCAAGCAGATTTGTTCCAGTAGAAACCTAGTATGAATTAGGAACTGGAGATGCCTAGAGACACTGGAAAAGGAATGACGTGTGGGGGTGGAAAAAAAAGGGTACCGGGTGAAAGTGTTTACAAGAAGGAATTCGAACTCCAGAACCCCAGATCATCTTCCTCTCTCCTTGCTGCCAGGTGACCCCATACAGATGGTAGAATTACTGTGTTGAGAAATTAGCCAGATGGTGTCCAAGCTCATGGAACTTGGAGGAGCAAGAGAAGGTGGCAAGAAAGCCATGAACTAAAAACAGGGGTTAGCTGAAAAACCCATAATCTGAGCAGCAAGACCTCTCCTCAAGCTGCCTTTAGCTATCCCACCGCCCCTCTGTGTACAGTCTAGCAGCTGCCTCCAGGCAGGAGGCTGTAAAACACATCTCTGGTGGAGCTGACCAGCCCATATGCAGGGGAGGGGGGGAGTCCTCATATTGGCACCTGGGTATTAAACCAGCAAAACAGCCAGGACCTCCCCACTTCACCCTAGAGAAGCCCCACAAGCATGCAGAACCTACAATCACATTTAACATGAACAGATGGACAAAGATACCAGTCATCTGAGGAATGCCTCCACTATTTAAGGAAAGATAAAAACAAGCAAAATTAATGAATCTCAGAGGAAAAAGACAGAATACAGTGAATCGTAGAAAATGTTTTAAAAATCAACAATTAATATATCAGAGACATAAGATGAAACAGCATAATGGAATAAGAGAAAGATGTCACTTAAAAGTAATAATCAGAGTAAAAGAAAGGTAGACAGAATTCTAAGATGGTCCCCAAAATCTCTGCCCCCTGGAATACCCCCTGAATAATTCTTACCCACTGAGTGTGGGTGAGACTAGTGAATGTAACAGGATATCACTCCCATAATTAGGTTTCTAACTGGTTTATGTTGAGTTCATCAAAAGAGAGACTGTGCTGGGTGGGCCTGGCCTAATCAGGTGGTCCTTTTCCCAAAAAAGTGTAGCACCAGAGACATAATCTCCTGCTCGCTTTGAAGCAGAAAGTAAATGGCCATGTTGTGAACTGTCTATGGAGATGGGTGGTCTATGAAAGGTAAGGACTATAGTACTACAAGTCGAAGAAACTCAATTCTCCTAGCACCATGAATGAGCCTGGAATAGGATCTGAGCTCCAGGTTAAGGACCCAGTTCCAGCCTACCTCAATTCCAGCCTGTGAGACCCTGAGCAGAGAACCCAGCTATGCCATGCCCAGAATTATGATCTACAGAAAGTATAAGGTAAATGGTGTTTTTTTAAGCTGCTCAATTTGTAGTTTGTTAGACAGCAATAGAAAACTACTACAGTTCTGAGTTATTAAAAACATTACCAAAATAAAACATAAAGATAAAGGTGAGAAAATCGCTGAGAAAACCTAAGAAAATTGGAGGCTCAAGCTAAGAGGTCCAACATAACTACCAGTGGGAATTCCAGAACCAAAGAACAACAACAACAAAAAGCCAGATTAAAACTATGAAAGAAGGAATTCAAGGTATTTATCTAGGCTAAAAGATTTCCCCATCATTACTGGGAAAAGAACCACACTAAAGCACACCATTGTGAGATTTTAGAACACGAGTAGAGAGTAAATATTCTGAGCAAGAGAAAAGCAGGTCACACACAAAAGAATGGGATTCAAAATGGCATCAAACCTCTCAAAAGTAACCCTGGAAACCAGAATACCATGGACCACACCTGCAGAACTCTGAGGGAAATCATTTTCAACCTAGAATTCTGTCAGCCAAATCATCAGTCCCAAGGTCCTCTTTCTCTGGAATCTCCTTGAAGATGTTCTTCCACAAAGGGAGACACAGAATCCAGAGAAGTGAAGACACAATACAGGAGAGAGGTAAAGGGAAGGTTTCCCAGGAAGCCAGCCAAGGACAGCAGAGACCACACTGCTCAGCTTAGAGAATGGGGATGGAGGGCTTTGGAAGTGCCAACCCAGCGAGAAGAAAAGAAAGCAGTTGACTTATCTTCTACATTTTGGAGAAGCAGATCAAGAGAGTATATATAAAACAGTGTAGGTCTTAGTGAGATACCAAACAAAAGAACACAAAAAAAACAAACAAAAAAACAGCTAAATAAAAGTCAATAATTATAGAAACAAAAGTGTATGCATGCAGTGAACAATATTTAAATAGCCATAAGACTGTAAGCATTATATAGTAATAGAACCAAAGACTATAATATGGGTATGACACACTGGGGGGGACCAGATGAGGGGAGGCTGGGTGCTGTGGGTCTGGAAGATGAGAGTTGAAAGCAGCTGATAATCTTGACCCTTCACCTACCAGACACCAAAATACTCATGAAGATGATGAATTATGAGACAGCCCTGAGGCACATTCCTTAGTAACAGGAAGGTAAGAGGCAAAAGAAGACTAAAAGCCAAAGTGACTTATGAGGAGAACAGTAGGCATTTGGGGCTTTATGCAATTTGTATTTTAGAATAATAATAATTTTTTAACTATGGCTTATAACATTTTGATGAACGATAATAAATGGGAAAAGGTCAGTTGAAGACCCTAAGACAGGATTTTACACGCCCATAAGCTGCACAACGAGAACAAGGCAGGTGTGTTGAATGACTTGTGACTTCTGCGTAAGCAATCTCACCTGTTGGTTCAGTTCAATGTTTGGTTGAGCAAATAGCACTTCCACTATATCTGAAATTCAAATAGAAAAGATATATATATTTTTTGGAATAAGAAGTAGAAGTCTGACAAGATGAGGCATAATAATTTTAAAAGAGAGGATTCTATAGAACAATCTTCAAGAAAATCCTCATAACAAGATTTTCAAAATTTATGTAAATACAAGACTTCAGAATCTAAAAAGTAGAATTATCTAGGGAAAAGCGTGTTTTTTACCCCAAATAATTTGTTTGTCCTTTACATTTCACATGACATGATTACAGAAATGCTTCTACATTCACTATGATACTTAGTGAATATAACTAATATAACTTATCTGTGTTCATTAGCTAAAATAAGATAGGCTTCTTTGGGAAGATAGCCATAAATTTTCCTTTGGCTATGCTATATAATTTGCTGGGTTCTTTTTTTCACTGTGTTTATTTTCTGTGTGTGTTGTAGAGAGAGGTAGAAAGAGAGTGGGTGTTGAAGATTTTTGGTCAGGCTGAAATACATCTTGAAATTTCAGTTGTCATAGTATTGATTATAACTGAGAAAGTTATACTAAATCATTAACTTCAGCAAATGCTCTCTTTCTCCTGAATCCAACAGCTTACACTAAACACAAAAGCAAATTTTGGGAAAACTAAGCTACAGGAGTCAATTCTGCCCCTTTCTTCTGTAAGATTAGATAGTGGGGTTTGTTTTTCTATTACCATTGTGTTCCTATAACATTTCCTAGAATAAGAGAGTAAAGTAAGTTTCCACTCCTTCAAGTGAGAGGGGTCTATGCAGTGGGGCTGACCAAACATATTCACACTACTGTTTCACAGAGCTGCCAGGGACAAGGCTTTGTAGGATTTGAAAAGAATAGCCAATTCTTTTTTTCTGTAAGTCCAGCTTCCCTAGACGAAGCACACATTCAGTAGCATAGACTTTTATGATAACAAACAAATGTAATACCTTTGTGACCCCCATGACAAGCCCAGTACAGTGCAGTGCTTCCAGCTTTGTCTAAGCCATTAACACCAACTCGGTTGTCCAAACACTCTCTCAACCAGCTCAAGTTGCCTGAAAAAAATTTTACATTTATAAAATCACAATTAGAGTTTTGTTTTTGTTTTGCTTTTAAATCAATTTCATCCTGCATAAATTTCCACTTGCAATGGATTAATCAGTAAGTCTGAAATTAAGACCTGCCCAGTAATGAATTCATTATAGTACAGTTAATTTCCAGCTTATTAATGGAAAAGATTAACGTACATTTTTTTTTTTTTGCAGGGCATGGGTGGTTTAAACAACACAAATTTATTTGTCACAGTTCTGGTGGCTGGGAAGTCCAACATCGGGGTGCCAGCAGATTGAGTGTCTTATAAGAGCCTGCTTTCCCAGTTCCTGGACACTGCCTTTTCACCCTCTTGGTGGAAGGACAGAGAGAGCCCTCTGGGGTCTCTGCCAGTTCCATTCATGAAGGTAGAGCCCTCTCAAAGGACCTATCTCCAAACTGGAGGTTAGGTTTCAACATATGAAATTTGAGGAGACACAAACATTCAGTCTATGGCATGCACACGGCCACACTCAACCACGTAGTTACAACTGGTAAAATACAAGTGAGTTCTATGGATTGTACAACATCAGTTTTTAATGGTGGGTTAATGGGAAGAGGTGCCTAAATAAGTATGTGTATAGTATAAAAAATATATATATAATATATGTATATATATATTACATATATGTATACATACATACATATAGTGAAATCCTGGAACTTAGGAAAAAAACTAGATGAACCTAAGAACAGGCAGATACTACTCATTCCCATTTAAAATGCATTTTCCATTCTTACAAGAAGAGAAACACTAAATAACCTACTAAAAGTTCTGCTCTTATACATTAAAGAATAACTATTAATTTAAAATCCTCCAGCTAATGCCCTAAATATCTAATTTACAAAGAATTTTTTAAATGTCAGTTTAGTAGTTCTACTTATGCACAATTCCAAAACAATAATTTTCTTTTGCACATTCAGATTCAAAGAGATCTAAAATAGAGTGAAAGAGAGTTCATTGAGACCTTATGGAAACTCCCCTTCATCTTAGCAGGGTTTCTCAACAGCAGCCTACTGACATTTAGGTTTGGAAAAATTATTTCCAGTGGGGCTGTCCTGTACACTGTAGGATGTTAGCAATATACCCAGCCTCAACCCAAAGGGTGCCAGTAGCATTCTTCCAGTCATGACAGTCATAATGTCTCCAGATATTGCCAAGTGTTCCAGAGTTTGGAGGGAGCTATCAGCCCCAGTGCAGAACCACTGATCTACAGGATAAAGTCCCAGGCTAATACCCATCCCTCCTTCAACCTCCCTCTCCGACTCTACCCTCACCACACAGGGCACTACACTAACACTCCCCTAAATGCTGTACCCCCAAAAAGCCTCCACACTCATGCACCTCCATTCACTCATTCTGGCCTCTATATCCTGCTTAACTTAGAATTTATCACACCATCTCATAATGATCTGTCACACACATCTCTCCCCTGCCAGATTTTGAGCTCTGACAGTTACACACCATGCCTTTCCGCTTGCCACTGAGCACTAGTATAGGTCAAGTACTTAGAAGTGTTTGTTGAATGACATTTAAAAAATTTTAATCACATTTCACCTATCTAGGGTGAGAGAAGGCAGAACAGAGATTGCCTCTGAGGGAGGAAGGGAAAGGAACTTCTTAGGATGAAAGAATGTTCTAGATATTGACCTGGGTGTTGGTTATGTGGATGTATACATTTATTAAAAGTCAATCAATGGTATAATTAAAGTCTGTTCTACTATACTGTGTATCTCATCAAAAAGAATCACACCTACCTCTTTTTGCAGCTTCATGCAATGGATTGTCAATGGATTCTGCTTGCTCAGCCACTAGATGGAAAATAAAAAGTGCAAACCCAATGTTGACAGTGCCACTCAAAGGATTCACTGAAGCCGCTTCACAGTCCCCTAGCTTCTAGAGTGCTAGGTCCTTCCCCCAAAGAGCTTCCCAAACTTCAAGTGCTTTAAAAAATAGCAGAAAATCAAATGGATGTTTTCTGCTTTAAAAGAAGCAAGCTAAGTAATAAGGCAGTAATAGCAATTAACTGGAAGTATAAGTAAAAACAAACACACAAGTAACTAGAAGTATAAATAACAAACAGATCCGTGGCCTACCCATCAATATACTCAAGTACTAAATAAATTTAGCCACAAAAATGCAAAAGAAAGCATCTGATGTTCATTTTTATAGTCTGCAAAAACATCCTACTATGAAGATAGCTGAAAATAATTGTTTCCCTTGTGTGTGCACATAGGGCTGGGGAGAGGGAGAAATAGTTTATTCCCTGTGTTCAGAAAGGAAAATCAGCATATTACCTGCCTCTAAGGAAGGTGTGTTCAGAGTTGTCCTAGAATCAGGAGGAGCGACCACATGAACTCTGTTGGTCAAATGAGACTTCAGACCTGCCCTCCCAACCACAAAGGGCCGTAACTGGACACTCCCTTGGCGAGTGCCAAAGCAACAGAGAACACTTTACACCCTTGGTGTCTATGACTGACTGGAAATGGAGTGCATAGAAGAGATATCTTTGGGATTTCAAAGGTAAGAGAAGAATAGAAATATTTGAAGTCTTTTTTAACCCAGAATGGCATCACGCTTAGACCAGGGCAGTGGGGCACCCATGTTGGGATCCAGGCTTCAGCCCTCTCTCCCCTCTTCCCAAGGGCTTTGCACTGCCTTCCCTGAAACAGTCTAAGTCCCACTCCACTGCTTGGAACTGGTAGTTGATGCCAGCCCTCTTGGTCTGAGGATTCATCTAATACTACAGTGGAAAGGAACCTTAGAAGTGACTGGAATCAGACCCTCTCATTATACAAATGGGGAAAGGTCCTGGGGGAGCAGTTAAGGGCCTTCACTAGGGCCCCTTGTTATTAGGAAGTAGAAGAGAAAAGTTTCAAACCCAGGACCCTTCTTTACAAATCCTGGGCTCTTTTTACTTTACTGATCCCAGCGTCAGTATTTCTGTTTGTCCCTCTTCCAGCTAGCAGCAGCTTCATGGCAGGGGCCACAGCTCACTGCTTGAGCCCCCCAAACTGCCTGACAATACATTTAAATGAGCATCACTGCACCAAATGTGAATTAACAACGCGCGGTTACTTCATCACAAAAGAAAGGGCGGGCCTCAGAAACAATCTGTGAAATTCAGTTTAATAGCAAAAAAAAGAGAGAGAGAGAAGGAGAAAGAAAAAGAAAAATACTCTAAGAGTTGACTAAAGATAAACATGTCCTTGGAAACCGTAGGTTCTTTTGCAAGAATGCTACAATGCGTTTTCTTAAGCCAAGGAGACAACCTCATGTACCTCTAGTGTCCATGACCATTCTACTGACAGGAGGCTCACGGAATAGAAAGTGTTCTAGACTCCACTGATTTCTCAGCATGGTAGCAAGCACAGAGGGCTCAGAAACCAGACAATTGAAGTGTACAAAGTAAAGCCACCATGGCCAAGCTTACCATAGTTGCTTGGGATTAATCCAGTCCTGCCTTTGGAGGTGCCTTTCCACCAATTGGTATCACTCTAGTGGAAGAAGAGTTAAATGAATGGTACTGAATCCAGCTGACATTCCACCACTTTTAAAAGCATTTGGCGCATGGGGTGCACCTGCTCTACAAAATGTCCACCAGCCCTGGTTTCACTGATCAGGCTTCCTCACTCCCTAGTTATGGATGTCCATTCCCCTTATCATTAAATTACAAATTAACACACATCGGCCTACAACAAATCAAATACACTTCATCATGCAGCCTCAACAATCAAATAAGCCAGAGATAATATGATAGCATAGAAAGAGAAGAAAAAAACTTCATATTATATAAACTACTGATAGGATTTTTTTTGTCCAGAGCCTATTTTCTCTTAGCTTCAAGATTTGAGGATTTTTTATTTGTTTAGTTGTTTTTCTAAAGCTCTTTTTATTTCACATGTATTATTTTTGGTAACTTTTTATTATTATTTTATTATAGAAAAATTCAAACCTATACAAAAGTAGAAAGAACAGTAAAGTAAAATGAACCTGTGTGTACCCATTTCCCAACTGCATGAATTATATGCTCATGGCCAATACTATTTCATACATATCCTCATCCACAACTTCCCTCCCCTTGGGATTATTCCAAAATAAAGTCTAGACATCATATTATTCTATCTGTATTTCACTATATATCTCTGAAAGACAAGGACTTTTTCAAAGATGTAATTATAATACCAATATCACAGTTTAAAATTTTTTTCAACAATAATTCCTTAATAGCAAATATCTAGATCAATACTCAAATTTTCCAATTGTCCCATAATTTAGAACCCAAATACAAGACATACAGTATGATTGACTGATTTGCCTCTTAAGCCTCATTTAGTCTATAGGTTCCCCCTCCACTTTTTTCCTACTCCTTCATAATACATTTGCTCAAGAAACCAGTTTGTTTGTTCTCTAGTTTTGAAGTTTGGATTTTGCCTGTTGCAACCCTGTTTAACCAAAAATGTGTTCCTCTGTCCTCTTATTATCTATAAATGGGTCATTTCTAAGTTCTAAGGCTTATTTAGATTAAGATTCTTTTTTTTTTTTTTTTTGGCAAGACTGTTTCATAGGTAGTTTTGATTTCTTCCATCAGGAGACACACAATGTCTGGTGGTGTCTCTTTTCATAACAGTAGTCACTGAAGAGCGTTGTCTGGATCTATTATTTCATGGGGGTTACAAAATGGTGGCTTTCTGATTCTACCATTCCTTTTTCGTTTAAATCATAAGAATATCTCTTTAAAGAAAAACCTCCCTTCAGCTCTCAGATTACCCAGAGATGAAATTCCTGGAGAAAAGGTAGAATAAATGTTGATTCTTCTCCTTAACAGTTGTCAGAATAAAATATTGGTTCCCTAACATTTGCAGAGGGTAACCAAGGAGGACTGGTTTTTTCTCAAGTATCATTAGGAACTCATCAATTTAAACATAGTAAATGTGTTTCAGTCCTTGGGAACTGTTGCCCTGGCTGCTCGAACTGTCCTATCTTTCACTAGTGACACTCTCTTCAACTCAGTTCCCAGGTCTTTTGAATGTGCCCCTAGTAGTCTTTGGTGGTTTCCTTGCTTTCTAATAACAAGACGTTCTGGGATTATCTTGTACCTTTGCTGTCCCCAGCCTGGTACCAGACATTTCTCAAAGGAGGCTTATTCCTTTTAATGGGAAGTAATATATTATCAGGATGGTCATTTTCTAGGCTTTTTCAAAAGGCAGAGCATTTAGATAAAATACAACATACTTCAATTCACATGCACAGCTACAGGGTTTTGACTTAACCTCACTGATCTGACTTCTGTAACTCCTTTTTTACAGGCTGAAAATCCCAGTTTTCAACATGACTTGACCTACTGATTCATTTGCCCTAAATCACAATATACATGTAACGATCTCAGAATAGCAATACAAACACTTCTCCAACAAGATCATGATTTTAAAAGAGCTTAAATTTTGTTTTTGGCAGGTCTCTTCCTATATATTCTACTAGAGTGTTGAGTCAAACTGCTGAGTTTTAAAAGCACTTGGAATAGTTCCTTTCTTTGTGGTTATGCAGACTACTTGGGGTAAAATTAAGCTCACTTGATTCACTCTGCTTTTAATTTTCAGTGATTGCTTTGTACCATTTAATTTTATAACTATGCAAAACAAGAGTTTACATGATTCCAATCAGACCCCCAAAACAAGGTATAATATTTTTCAAGTTTATATTCCATCTATGTTCCTTCTACCCTATTTCCCTTCCCTCACATAGAAGAAACTATTTTTAAAATTTTATTTTGTAACTCTTCCTTTGACTTTTGAAATTAAGAAAAACAGATATGTGTATATACCCCCCTCAGACAAGTAAAGGTGTACTATATTCATTTTTTTACTTAAATTACCCCATAGTAGCGATATTTCTCATTCCTTTTCACAGCTGTGTAAACTCCACTTGTGGATACACCAAAGTTCATCCAACTATTTTCCTACTTATAGTTGTAAGGGCTATTTCCAATCTTATGCCATTACAAATTGTGCTAAAATGAACAGATTTGGACATATGTCTGCTGGGCATATATAGATAAACATTTAAAATAATTTACAAAATCACAGCTATACAAAGCAGTCTTACACATCTTTAGTTCACATAAGGTACTATAAAATATTAGTTGGGCTTACCATGTCAGTAATGTAGATAATATCACCTTCCTCAAAGTATAATTCATCTGGCTAAAAGAAAAAAAGCGTTTAAAGTTTGACTCCATGTGATTTTTCATGAATATAATGATCATGATAATAATGATACAAATTCCAATTCCTAAAGTATCCTTATATACAATGTGGTTTTTATATACCTAAATCTGCAAATAAACCATATAACAAACCATTACTGACAAACTAACACATGTGTAGAAAGCTGAATTTTCCCCAAGATGAACTTCAAAGAATAATATATATAAGCCAATAAGAATTCCCTTCCCTCACCTCCCCCACACATCTATTCTTCCACAATAAAAGCAGGGCATTTTTATGTCAGAACAGCATATTAATAAAATTTATTCCTTGTAAAATTTCCAAAAGGTGATACATATTTTTTCAGAAAAGGATGTCTAGAATTAAAACCATGAAAAATAGCAAGAATCATGTCTCTTTCCTAAATGATTAGGTTTCAGTGCTTAAATACTTTTATATCAACATCTGCTATCTGCTTATTTTGAGAAAACCATTATCTATCTCTTCATGTTCAGAAAAAATGAACATTTCATATATAAGAATAGTCACTACATAATACAACAATTAATAAGGCTGAAGAGCAGCAAGACATGAAGCAGGAATCAGACATCCCAGACCATAGGCAGCTCTAAGGGGTTAACTGGTTATATAGACAGTAAGCACTCTGCCTTGCACCAGCCAAATGTCCTACAGACTCTCTGAATAAAACCACATCCTTTAAACATCTTTTCTCCATCAGTAGATAACACTTGTCAGAATGACTTTGAGTGAACAGGACAATGTCTATTGCCACTGAGTTTTAGATATTGGGAAACGTTCATTTACATCATCACATTGAATGAAAAATGTAAGGCACAAAATTTCACATGGGATAAGATTATAATTATGTGTGAAATATGTATAGAAAATTTTCCATATTTTCTATCATGAGCATGTATTGCTTTCACAATTTTGGTTTTTAAAAAAGGCTTTTCTATTTCTGATTATACTTATTGTTCCACACAAACAAAAATTATGCTAGTGAAACAAAGCATCTCACCCATTCCTTTTTTCCATTTGTATACCTCCTCTCTCAACTGCAGGCTAGGGCCATAAATGTGACTCTACACTAGTAATTTATTTCATTTCAAAGCTGATTTTTATTATTACTATAAATATTTCCTCTTGAATGAAGACTGTATCAGCTATATCATACTTTAAGCAACCACACACATACTTAGATGCATTATGCTCTGAAATATAAAATTTAGCAAATGATGATGAATGATAGTAAAAAAATGGCTGAATTCCTTTAAAAGACACTAACATACTTAGATGCATTATGCTCTGAAATATAAAATTTAGCAAATGATGATGAATGATAGTAAAAAAATGGCTGAATTCCTTTAAAAGACACTTTCTGAAGCATTTGTTGCATTTACATTTTTATTTACAGAGACTAGACCTACACATAATGAAAGCTATGCAAAACTAGTTGAACCTATGTAGACTTGATGACATACATTTTAACATTATTTGAAACAGTTACTTAGGAGAAAAAAAAGGTAAAATCCTTTAAGATTTTCTAATCTTTCTCCAAAATGTTCTGATGATTTATGATCAGTATTACTGTCAATATGGGATGACTACAGAAAGTAGGCAGAGAAACAAACTATTTCCTTTACTTGTCCTGCTTTCATTTAAGTTAAAGGTCATCTCTACCTTCAATTCTGGCTGCTTCTAAAATCGTGGAAGTCAGGTTTGCCTAAATTTCCGCACATAATAAAATCAGTCACCCCTCAAACAAAAAGGCATGTTTTGAAAAAGTACAAAATAAGTAACTTAAAAAAAACAAAGCACACACACACACACACACACACAAATCCCTGTGATTAGTCTTTCTCATTAAAAAGGAATAAAGCCCCAAAATAAGTGTTTAATGGGCACAGGGTATTCAGTTGGGATGAGGCAAATATTTTGGAACTAAATAGAGATAGTGGTTATACAACACTGTGTGACTATAGTAAATATCACTGAATTGCTCACTTTAAAATGGTTAATTTTATGTTATGAGAATTTTATCCCAACCTTCAAAAAAAAGTAATAAAGCCAAGAACAGTTAAACCTCTGAGTGTCCTTTAGGTAATTCTTGTCCTCTGTGGTTTGGCAAAGTGCATCACTTGCAAAATGTTACTAAGTCATTTTGTTACTTCTCAGTGCTATTTTGGTTTTTAAATGAAGGGCTGCTGTTCAATAGTGGCATCTGCCACCAGCCACCTATGCCATCAGACTTGTTTGTTATCTGAGGCAATCGGCAGTCAGTATGACTCAGGTAAAAAAGAAGGTCTCACTATTTTTTCATCCTGAGATAGGAGAGTGGACAGTGTATTCTCTTTTTAGTCAACCTCCAAGACACACAATACCACTACCAGTAAAATACCTTCTCCCACAGAAACCAGGGCAGTTTTTCCTAACCTCGCCAAGGACGTGGTCCACCAAATTCTCCAAGCTGTTGGTGGCAGGAAAGGCAACAAGCTAATCTCCTGAGTTTTAAAACATAGATGGATTTTACCTACAATATTCATGCTTCCCGTTAAGAAACCACACTGTGGGCACTTAATGTGAATTGTTTGATGAAAATCTACTTTTAAGTTCCTGGCATCCTATTCATGGAACAGAAATGGGAAACAGTGACCCAACAGAGTAAGCACTACTCTGTGTCTAATTTGTTCTTGCATTTTCAACCACATTCTCCCTTTCCTCTCTCCTTGAAGAAACACAGGATATCTGAACACGTAAACTGTGGGCCCCTGGGCTATAACAGCAGTGAGTACAAACTTGGTAACGCATTTTCTCATTCCTGGTCCATACATTCTTGCTAGCATGTAATTCCCAGGGCATTAATTTTGTTAGCTTATGCAAATAAATATCTTATGAAATGTTTTACAAAGGCTGTGACACAGTTTTGAAATTTTTCACATTTGTCAATCTGGAGCCCCAAGAGTTAATAAGAAGACAAAAAAACAAATCAAATTCTCCACAGATGTTTTTATTTAACACTGCACAGTATTGTTACGTGGCAGGCATTTGTCTGGACACTTACAAATAGTAACTAATTTAATCCTCACCAGCAATACTGCTAGGTGCGTCCTATTCTTGCCACACTATAGATGAGAAACTTGTCCACGGCCACAGAGCAGCCACATGGCAGAACCTGGACTTGAACCACAGCAGTCAGATTCTGGGTTCACTACTCTCACCACCACCTATGCTTCCTCTTATGCAGAAGGTCATGCATTGCCATTACTGGTCGTTATAGAGTCGTTTCCAGGTTCAAGGCAGTGGCCCTGGAAAATACGTCATTTCCCTCCCACCTCACCACCAATAATGCAGCACAACAAAACCAATAGCACACTTTACACTTATACTTAACCTAACTGGGTCCTCATTACGGCAACCCTTAGGGCAGGGCTGGAGCGTGGATATAATCTCCATTTCATAACCAGGCTCTGAGACGTTGAAGAACTTGCCAGAGATCACACAGGGCTGGGCTTCTACTTCAACTTTTGGAATCCCATTCTAGAGCTCCATCCTCTACACCTAGTGATACAAACCCAGTGAAGCCCAGCAAACACACGTTTGTTTTCTGAGCAGGGTCCCACTGGTCTCTCCTTAGAAATCAGGCTGCCCCCATCCAGCACACAGGAAGTGCTGTCCTCTCTCCATTAGCTCTTCTTCACACTGGTCTCTCCAGTCCAGCAGGTCTCTGTGTGACACCTTATTGGATTGGGGGTTGGGCAACAATAAGAACCAAAGGGCTGGGTGGTGCCAGGACTACCTTGTCTTCAAGCAAGACAGAGGAGAAATGGGTTGGCATGAGGAACTGGGGGCCCCAAGCTGCCCAGTGGATCAGCAAAACTGAAGTAGGACACTGCTGTCCCTGGCGGTACAGTTGCTAAAAACTGGATGCAGACCTCCCTGGAGTGCTGCACATGTTAGCAGCGGTCCTGCGGAGTCCAGCTCAACCTTCCATCTTGCCTGCCCCTGGTGTTTATGGAGGCCAGCTCAGTGGGGGATGTACAGGGGTACGTCTCCCCTACTAGAGAAGATGGTGGCTGGTCACAGGGAAGAAAAGCTGATCTGAGCCTCCAGCACTGTCCAATGGAAACTCTCAGTTAGAAAAAGAATGTAAGTTCCAGGATGGTATTCAAATATTGAATAACTAGCACCACCCAAGCACTTAACCAGTCAGGAAGGCCCATGGGAAATAGAGGCTACCTGCCCAGCCATACGCTTCCCCTTTAACATCTGGATTGAAGGGCGGTGGGAAGAGGTGGAGTGGGGGGCAAGGGGTAGTCACCACTGACCACCCAGCACACACAGGATGAATTAGCAGTGCTGTTCTGCAGCTTGGGACCCTCGGGACCCGAGATATTAAAAAATAACATTTTAAATATGGACTATTCAAAAGACCTAATTAATTAAATATCTATTTTCTCCTGTGCATTCAATAATTACTAAGGTTTTTAGAAAGCAGTAGAGAAACTCCATCCTGGAGCAGAATTAGAGATGAATTAAAGTAATCAATATATCAACCAATCAAAAATATTTGTTAAACAACTATGAATACAGCAACCATTTCTCCTTCTAATAATAATAGCAGCTTCACACAATTTGCCTCATTTAATTCTCATTAAAACCCTATGAGATCATTAGTATTCTCACTTTACATGTGAGTACCCTGTACAGAGGTTAGGTGACTTGCAAAGTTCCCAGGTCCACAGCTGCTGAAGAGGCAGAGTGGGTCCTGAAACCTAAGGACAGCTCTGAATCCCTGTGTTCTTCTGCCCCCCAGACACTGTCCTGGTGAGGACTGAAAAGCCAAGTGTAGAATTTTGACGGGGAGAGGGCACCCCACTCCTAGCGAGGGTGGTCAGAGAACCTTTATGCAAGAGGAAGTATGTAATGAGTCAGGGCCTGGGGTAATGCAATGAGTCCAGACGGACTGGAGATGGGTTCCACTGGGCATCAAATCCAGACTGGAAAGGTCCAAGAAGGGGAAAAAACAGAGGAAGGCAGGGCTGAAAGGGGTCTGGACCACAGAGGACTCTGTCCTTAGTCAAATAATGAAGCAGGTGATGGGATCAAAGCTACATTTTAGGAAAATTAGTCAGGCAGAAAATGCAGATGGAATGGAAAAGCTGGTCCCTGTGTTCCAGAAGCTAGGAAAGGTTGCAAGGTCATGGAAACCAGAGGAGGAGAAGGTCAGTGAGAAAGGATGAAGTTGATGATCAAGAAGATATTGGGGGGAAAGAGGAAAGCATCAGGGCTCACCTTTGGTCTCAAACTCAGGAAATGCAGGTCCCTTTCTGGAGTTAGGGAGGCAGCAGAGAATGGTCTATTCATTGTCTGGGCCCAGGAGAGCAGAAGATGACCACCTCCCCTCCCCCTCCCCTATCCACCTCAGGGTTCTTGCAACCCAGGGAACAACTGATGAGGACAATCAGAGGCATGGAATGACAGTCCTCCCTGTGCACAGGCAACAAAGACAACTTCTGGACCTGTGCACAGGCGACACAGACAACTTCTGGGCCTCATACTTTCTTAGCTTTTTGTGTCCCCTCCTCTGCCTGCCCAAAACTTGTATGTTGAAGTTCCTAACCCTCAGTAACTCAGAATGTGAAGGCATTTCCAGATGGATTGTTTAAAGAGGTAAGTAACTTAAAACAGAGATCCTTGGAGAGGGCCAAATCCAGTGAGACTGGTGTCCTTTTAAGGAGAGGAGACAGGAGCACAGACTAGTACAGAGAAAAGACCATGGAGAGGAATTTTAAATTAAAAACTTTAGAGGAAATTCTAAGAAAATAAATCTCTGTTGGCTAAGCTACATAGTCTGTGGTGCTTTGTTACACCTACCTGGGCAAACGAACATGCCACCCATTCCCACCCTCACTGACACAGAAGAGACTAAACACCTGAGATGTACTGTGACCCACCCAACCCCTTTGTTGTTCCAGAAACATTCTGTTTACAAAGTCTTGGGAGAGCTCATCTGAACAGAAGCACCACTCATATCAGCTATATTAGGAGCTGCCCTTCAGTGGCACTCGCCATGTGGTAGGCTTTAAACACTGATCCCAGTCTCTGCTTACAGCAAGGTTCTACCTTACGATGGCTAAATCACTCCCATTCGCAAGGGAGTAAACCGTGGCCACAGGTTAAGTAAATGTGCACCCTGAGTAAATGACAGATTTGGCATTTGAAGGCAGGCCTCGGCCTGATGGCTGTGAATCAGTGCTCAGTGTCACTTGTTCTGAGCTGCCCTCAGAGGTGCCTGACTCTGGGGACATCAGGGTCTAGGTCAAACCCAGACAAGCCAGCAGCAAGCTGAGCCCACAGAAGTGATGCTCTTCTCTCTGGTGGGGAGGGGAAAAGTCAAGGAGGGGTTTCCTTTCCTGGTCTCCTTCTCCTCTGCCTCCTGATTATCTAGTCTTCCGGCTTCTACTTTTGTTCTCTTAGATGGCTTTCTACACCTCCAGCAGAATGATTATTCTAAAACTTAACTCTCTGATGAATCCTGGACTCAAACCCTCCAACTGCCTCCCATTGTAACCAACGCGAAAGGCAAAATCCAAACAACACCCCCAAGGCCCTACATGATGCGCCCTCCCTTGCTGGCCTCCCTGATCTCATCTTCTTCGTCTCTCCCCTTTGTGCATGACTTTCTAAGCCCGGCTGCCCTCCTTGCTGTTTGCAGAAATTGCCAAATAAACTCCTAGTACTGGAACTTCCTCTGCCCTCCTTCAGGTCTCTATTCAAATGTCACCTTTATAGAAAAGCTCTCCCTGACCACCCTACTGAAAATAATCCTCTTCCCGCCATGAACCTCGTGGCCCCTACTCTTTATTTATCTTCAGAGCACTCAGGCCCTGACAGTCACATTCATTTGTCTATTTACTGTCTGTCTGAGCCCACTGGGATGCAAGCTCCCTAAGACTGCCCTTTCTTTTGCCATCGTACTATCCTATGGCCTGGACCAGTGTCTGGTACCTAAGAAGTGATCACTAAACTACAGGTGGATGGGTGAATGTACAGATGGACACCAGAAACTGTAACAATGGAAGATGGACATAAAGTTACTCTGAACAGTTGGCAAAAGGTACCATTATCACGTAGCTTGAGGAAGAGGGTCAATGGGAAAAAAAAGGAAGATTAGCATGACATTCAGAGGAATGATAACTAAGACAGGGTCACGTGCTTTATGTTTTAAAGCGGGTGGTGTCACCACATGGGGACAGGCACCACAGGGGAGAGACCTCAAGACAGGAAGACACTCAGGTCAACCACAGGGCTTAGTGGGAATGACCAAACGTCCATTCCTGTGAACTGTTTACGGCCATCAAAGGAAAGACAGGCCCATTAGGCACAGGAAGTATCTAAATGAAATCACCTTCATTTCTCATGCCAATTTTAAAGTTAAAAACTGAATACTTACAGTTCTGGGTTCAAACGTATAAAGAGCTCTGAACACTTTAACTTGCCCTAAAAAAGGAAAAAAACAACACATGACCAATTCTTTCATTTTAAATTTGCTCTAAGCAGTATTCTCCACTATAGTCTTCAGAATTCCAAATTAAAAGCCCATGTGAGAAATTTATTTTGGAATTAAGTGCCTTTTTCCAGGAACAGGAGGTTATTTTTTTACTTGTTAAATGAAAGCATGAATAAACAACACCCCTCTGAGGGTTGATTTTCTTCCCCCTCAAACAATAGGAGCTACGTTAATTATGTGGACTTAGCATCTGTTCTATCTAGAGCCCTTCCAACTCTAAAACGTAAGTTTAAAAATAAAAGACTGGTGTTTAACATAAATAAGTAACATGACAGTCAACAGTGGTTTAATATTCTTAAGTCAGTGTGGTTTAGGATGTCATATGTTCCGAAAGAAAAGAAAATACCAGAGAAGAGAGTACCTGTTGGAGAAATCTGTGATTCCACCAAGTCCCTAAACAGGGTGTAATAACCAAGCAAAGAGGAGGTCATGCTCATGAGAGTTGTTCTCTATTCTGCCAAACACTCTCTCTCCTTCTATGCCCCTGTGCTGCTTTTCTGCAACACCCAGTATTAGAATAATTGATCTGCTGGCCTGACTTATTTAAGGGCAGAAATCCAGATTTCTTCCATTTCCCAGCATCTACCTGGCACACAGTATGCTTGCTAAATAAATATGTAAGTAGAAGAACAAATTCAAAAAGCCTACAGATCAAAAAAAAAAGGTCCTTTTTTTGTGAGATAGATGTAGAAGGAATATCAAAACAGGCTACCTATTTAAAATGTGATCACAGTTCATTTTTAGCACTGGACGACCTCTGGAGATGACCACTTAGTAACCCTGTACATGATCAGCATTTGGAACAGTGCCCCCAGAGTGGGATAGAAGACTACTTCGTAAATTATTGACATCTTTACCTTACTCCTTTTCATTCCTGTTTTAACACATTTTATAATATAACATAATACATACACAACTTATAAATACATATACATTTATTAGGAGTGAGTACTCAAAAACTTTTGCTGATAGAATATTAGGTGTTCTTGGGGCAAGTGTTTTTGTTTTATGATATGTAGCACAGTGTCTGGCACATAGAAGGCACTCAGTTATTTATTGAGTGAATGAAGAATGAATGAATAAAGGAATGCAAACATGCACTTAAGAAAAAAAGGCTAAAAACCAGTAGTTTTGAACAGGACTGTCTAGTATAATTTCACGCAATAATGGTAAAGTTCTATATCTGTGCTAGTCACATACAGCTCCTAAGCACTTAAAATGTGACTGGTGGGATGGAGAAACTGAATTTTTTTCTTTAATTTTAAGTAAGTTGAATTGCCACATATGGCTTGTAGTTAGCATACTGAACGATACACATCTAGAACATCAGAAAATGAGAAATGATGTAATATCCATTAAGAGGGGGACTACATAAATCAACTCTCATTCTATCCACATGACAGAGTCATTAAAAAAGAATATTGCAGACAGATCCACACACACAAACATAGCAAAGAGTGTCTACAAAATATTCAATGAAAAAAATGTACATTACAGAATATGCCAAAAAACATCCTTTATGTTGACAACACACATACACACTCACATACACTTTGAATGACAGCACCAATTCACATTCTCTTTTACATGAATGTTTACATTCATTACATTAGCAGGTATTACTTTAAAAATCAATTAAAACAATACTTTCATGGGAGGGGGAGGGGAGGTCATTCTTTCTTCTAAACGCCCTAATCTAAGAAGAGCAGCTCACATCACCTCTTAGTGTGTCTGCAAGAAACATTTTTGTTATATAAATTCTAGTGCCACCTCTTTCCTGATCTACTAGGGGGAGGTAAATAGACGGAAGCAAAAGTGAAAATTTTTTTTGTTTGATGTTTGTTTACCCACATCTACAGGCCTGAGAAAGCAAACATCAAACAGAAGGAGAAGCTGCCAGAAGAAATATTTTCTGCTGACCTGACTGTCTTTCTGAGAAGGGAGATTAGTTATCTTGATTATTTCAAACTTTTCAAAGAGAGGTTATACAAGGAAGCAGTCTACTCAGGACCAAAATCAATAATGACGGAACTTTCTTGCTCCTTTGAGGGAATGGCAATGAATGTGCGATGGTTAACTTTGGAAAACAAGATCCAATGTCAGCAGAGTGAGCTTAGACAGAATTCAGGACAAATTAAAGAAACTGAAAGAAAAAAATGTGGAGTGTGACTGAGCCACTAATTTTTGTAATTGTGTCTTTTGTGATCATCTTATTTAAAATGTTCACAACTAAAAGGAAGTGGGAGATTTATTTGCATTCTGACATATTAAACATTGAACTTCAGGTAAGTTCAGGCAATTATGCAGGAGAACATTCTCTCTGTGTAACACTGTAGAAAGTACTTTCACATATACAATCCTATTTATCGATTTGTGTTGCGCCCCTTTTAATCTATATTATTACAGAAGTTCTGAGCCTTAATTTACTCCATTCTCAAACCTGAGTCAAGCAGAAATGAAAGAAAGCACATGAAACAGCCAGCGGATATGAAAGAACTGCATAAAAAACAAAAACACAAGACTTTCATCATCACAGTTTACCAACCCGGAGAATCTCTCAAGAGAATAATACTATTACTTAATTCACTGGTCATTTTTACATCATATTTAATTCAACAATGAGCAATGTTCCACAGGTGTATAAGTTTACACAGAGCACAGAAGCAAAGAAAACATGGTACTCTGTGTTTCTATAGTATTGTCCTTGCAGACATCTAAAACAAAAACTAAACATCTTAATAAATCATCAAGAGCAGGCACTGATCAGTTCCAAATTTACTTGAAGGCAGATTTAGAAAAGTAAAACAATTATGTCATTGTACATGCAGGGAGGCTACATTAGGTGCCTTCTGTGGGCACCTTCCATCTTGATCTTTTTCTCATGGAAGTCTGGTTACACATAACAGAGAAAGTGGAGCTGAGAGGCCCTGAAATCACCTTGGAATTCACCCTGAATGTAAGACTGGAAAGAGGCCCAATCTTGTATCTGACGCTTGATGGAACTTTTGTGTGAACTAGCATGTGAATGGTATTAAGGATTTCAGTAGGGCCGGCTTCCTGATGTAAGATAAGCAGATTCCCATTACACCAGCAGCAGCTGGCCCCTGGGGGCTTTTCATTTTGCTGGCTTCTCACCTTGCCAGGCACACCCTTCCATTTACTCTGCAACCCCACTCAGCCCCCATACAGAAAGGCTGAGTCCAGTGGTCCATCCACAAAACAGTATTTCTCTCTCCATTTACGCTGACCCCAGACTTAAATAAACTAATCCTTGTTCATTGCGGTTGAGACAGAGAGGGAAGGGGATCTTCAGGATGGGGTCTTGCATAGGCAAAGGGTAAGAGAACGTTCTGTTTCTGTGGTTTGCAAACAGAATATGTCCTGGTGCACGTCCAAGGCCCTGAAAGGGCACTTAGAAGGACGTGGGGCTTACAGATGCGAACATAACCTACTTTATTCTCTGTTGATGAAGGAGTGGAGAAGTCTCTAGAGTGAGCCCCTAAGACAGCATTAAAAAGGGACTGCTCGCTGTAATGGATAGACAGATGGTGAACAGAAAGAGGAATGACTACTTTAAGTATCAGCACTTTGTGATCTGTTAACAGAATGACTCTTTCATTTACACTCTGCTTAAAAATGTTTCGAGGCATGGGGCCTTTTAGAAGGACTTCATTTAAAATGGCTACAATTACTACTACACACCCACTAGGTAGTTACAACTAAAAACACTGACAAGTGTTAAGAGGGATAACAAAACAACTGGAATTCTCAGACATAACCAGTGGGCATGTAAACTGACACAACCACTATGGACAATTATTTGGCAGTAACATTCATTCAGTTTTTATAAATCTTAATAGGCCTTTGAGATCTTAAATTGCATTTATGGGAAAGGAACATGACTAGAAAACCCTCCTGGCATCTTTAGTGGGACTGAAATATGGCATACAAAAATGGCCCCTCCCGAACCATGCCACTACTCCCACAGTACAGTGAGTCTCAACATTTTGAAACTGAAGATTATAACTTATTCATAGACTGTGAAACTTAGTGTCTTTTAAAAATATTAAACAGAACAGAAAAGGCCAGAGTCCTCTGTACATAACAGAAACAGTTATGGTTTGTGAAATTTTTGTTTAATTGGGACTAGACAGATGGATAGGAAGACAGATGTTTATTTTAGAAATTTACCAAACACATTTTGGCACGACGCCAAACAGCCAAATATTAAAATCAAGGTTTACTAAAGCCAAATGTTGCCTTTATAGAAAAAATGACTGGGAAACAAGAATAAATCTGAAACTTTATTCAAAAAATGAATTATGATTGCAGTTTTATTAATAAAAATTCTGGTAGGCTCATGTCCCTTGGTGCCATCAACTGCAACATGATGAGACTTTTGCAAAACTAAATAAATGTCCTCTCTAGAACAAGGCCTGCGTAAAAGCAAGGCATTTTGGTACTAGCTCTGCCAGATAATATTGCCTGTGGTGATTTTGCCACCAAGTACTTTCCTTCCTTCCTAATAGGAACTGACTCAAGTCGAGACAGCCTCAGCTCCTGGGCCTGAAGGTTGGCTTAACGGTGATGATGCAATTTCACTGAAGACAATCCCACATAGGAGATGATGCCAAAATGAGTAGCAGTCATGCTCCCTCAACATTAATTCTTAATCTATACCTATTATCTATATAATAATTTGGGGGTGGGGAAATTCACAGCCTCGCAATCATTGTTGATTATTGCAATGCCTTAAATTCTCCAATAAGAAATAAACATTTATACTTTCAGTTGACTGAGAAGAATTTCCACATATAAAAAACAAAAAGGGGATTCAGAATAATTGAATTCAGAATAAGTGAATCCAGACATAAGGGAATATTAATATAACAATAAACCCCAGTGTCATGCCTAGTCTGTATTACTGGTG